ATAGTAATTTGAGCGCTTTGTTATCCAGCTCGGGAGCGGTTCCACATTTTCCCGATTCGACTATTATAGAACATGGTGAAGATGAGATTGAAAGGCGTTTGGGATTCTCGTTGGCCACGGCTCGGCAGATTTTTATAGATAGTGTCAAGGCATACCCACAATGGAGACTAGAACAGTTAGTTTGAGTTGTTATTACGGAAAAAAATTTTTTTTTGTTCTCTTTCTCGATAGACTCAGTTTTATATATGGCTTTCCTGCTGGGGCATTCGTGTGCTACCACTTCTTCAAAACTAAAAGTATGATTTTCTCAAAACTTTCCCGGACAACCTAATAGAATCCTTAGACCTTCTCTAGTGTTCAGTTCCTTAAAATTTGTTTAGTCCCCTTAGGATCATCGATCATGATCATTGCATCAAAATTTCAATAATCGAGCGAATTGGGACGATGGTTTATGCACCTGGCCCGCCTGTCTCATCGTCGCGATCAAACAGGGATGCCCGCACGTCACAATGCTAATGAGAACAATGCACCATTGAAATTCAAAAAAATCATCACTGAACCGTTCAAATGTTTCCGGAAAAGTGGTCTTTTTCCCAATTAGACAATACCTACAGCTTGAAGTATGCTTACCCAGTGTTCTTACCCAATTTCGACACTTGGAAGACGTTTTTGCACACCCCAGTCCCACATTTTGTTCAAATGTGCGCACCTTCGATACATTTTCCTCTTGCTAAACGGGAGGCCTTTATGAGACAAGCCTAGCATACTGGCAAAAGGCGGCGGTATCGTATGCTTACATATGTATAGTCTTGAGCTAGTTCAACATCCGGGCGATGCAAGCTGGAAGAATGCTGATGCCCATCCTGAATGAATAGGTAATGATGTTTTCCTACGTGAGTAGCTTTGATGGAACGTGGGCAGCATAACTACACTTTATTTTGGCTTACAAGCCGAGCAGGTGTATCTACGTAGTGGCAAAAGTCGACGTTTACCAAGGGCGCTATCCGGAAAAAGCTGATCTCTAACGAGATCTTAGGCTGCATGGCAATACGGGACCGCGGCTCGGGCACTCAGGTCTTCAGTCCCTCTGCAATTGGTGTTTTCGAAGGTTGAAAAACTGGTTTGTATAGCGGCTGGCTTCCCCGCATGCCACCGTGCAGGCGAAATCGCATTAAAAAGTGCCACAGCTATTCCGAGCAGAAGTAAAGTACAGACATCACTTTAAAGAGAGACTGAACGGCACAGTGAGCTACATTGATTTGCTCAGTTTGGGCTTCGATTTCTTCTCCTGCCTCCAATTATGGATGATGATGAAGACTGACTGTTAACTCGGGCGCTTAGACAACTGAAAGCTCAAACATCACTTTATCCCTTCCCTGTGCTGTTCCATAGATTGCTTAGCGAAAAACGTTTCGCAAAGTCTCCTCTGATGAGCAAACTCTATCAGGCTAGAGCTCCAAACAATTTCCATTATGCAAATGTCACAAACCGTCAAAGCGGATATGCTGTCCATACCAGACAGTAAATTACAAGTTAACGTCGCCAGTGTTGAAAGACACCGTATGTAATTGTTTGTTCAGGGATCTCATGGAGACCAGACGTTGTGCTGGCTCGGAACATGAACATCTGCGTATTATTTCATGCGCACCGGAATTCTAAATGAAGAAGAAGAAGAATGGTGTAGGTTA